CAACGGGAAATGATTTCTCTATAATTCATCCCTGACTGAATTTTAATTTTTTTTGACGACTAACACTGGAAAACTTGAGAGTCGTAAACTTCAGCAGTGAAAGAAGAGGTAAGAAGGAAGATAACGAGTATGTCTCTCATATCAGGGTTTAGGGGGCTTATTTTTCAGAAAGCCAGCAAGAGCCCGAGTACTGTTTCATCTCTTCAAATTAAATACAGCTTTGCTGAAAGTATGCCATTTTTTAATTATTATAACACACTGCAGTTAAATTGAATTCTTCATTTCCTCAGTTTGCCTGTGGCATCTCTGAAGTGGCTGTTTTTGTGTTTTACTTAATCAGAATACTTTTGCCATTTGATGTTTATACAAAGTTCCATTATTCACATAATATCATTTCAGTCTTCTTCCTTTCTGAAACATGAGGCAACCTCATAGACATATATTGAAGGACATGAACCAAGTATAGAAATGACAGTGGTTTTAAAATAAGCTTTTGGGTCCCAAGTCCTAACTTTGAGTGCTATCATTTCAGTCTTCTTCCTTTCTGAAACCTGATGCAACCTCATAGACACATATTGAAATGACAGTGGTTTTAAAATAAGCTTTTGGGTCTCAAGTCCTAACTTTGAGTGCTGACACACGTGGTCCTGGAAGAATACATGATTGTGCTATGCAATGTTCTTACTAGTTAAAAAACCCAGAACTTACCAGTAGGGCATATTAACCCGAATCTAGGCGGCTTACAACAGGGAAAGAATACAATAAAAATAAAACAGTAGGGCATATTAACCCACCCAGAAAAGACATGCTGCCTGAACATTCCTGCTGTAAGTGGGAACATCAAAACACAACAGAGATTTTCCATCCTTGTTTTTTTTATTGTGATGCCAAAACCCAGCCTCTCTATTTTGTCAAAAGCAAAAGATACAAATCTCCAACAAGTCTATAGATTATTTATCTGGCTTGTTGGGGGAGAGGTTTTCAGATGTCACACAGAACAAATCATGGACAGGAGGTCCTCCATTTGTTTAGCAGCTCCCTCTAGCAATGGAAGCCACCAAGCAGTCACCAGCATGCTGCCTCCTTCCCAGTCTGGAAAGCTCCTTAGGGCCAAAACAAACAACAGAAGCTGACATCTCTTGAGAGGTTAAATGTATTTATTTACTCTAATACAATGTTTCTCCCCTGTGAGAATAGCATATTGGCTGACTGAGCACTGATTTTGTTTTGAAGTGAGATTGTTAAAGATCCTATCTCTGGAGAAGAAATGCATCACATTCTAATTATTGTAGGAATTGTCTTATAGGTAGTGTTCCCTCCCTACTTAGTTTATTTCTGTCAAAGATTTCTGACAAAATTATCAAGAAGTTTCAGAAAATTCTTGTGCACCTAGGGAAACTCACTGCAAGCCTTTCCTTTATCAATGGGTTCACATAATAAAAATAAGGGACAAACTAGATATTAAAATTAGAGGGATGTGGTGGCGCTGTGGGCTAAACCGCAGAAGCCTCTGTGCTGCAGGGTCAGAAGACCAAGCAGTCGTAATCTCCTCTGTGAGAATAGCATATTGGCTGACTGTGCGCTGATTTTGTTTTGAAGTGAGATTGTTCAAGATCCTATCTCTGGAGAAGAAGTACATCACATTCTAATTATTGTAGGTAGTGTCTTATAGGTAGTGTTCCCTCCCTGCTTATTTCTGTCAAAGATTTCTGACAAAATTATCAAGAAGTTTCAGAAAATTCTTGTGCACCTAGGGAAGCTCACTGCAAGCCTTTATCGATGGGTTCACATCATAAGAATAAGGGACAAACTAGATATTAAAAGCAATGCATATTCTTTACTTTTAACCTCCTCCTTTCTCACCAAGGATTCTCCTCAAGGATACATATTTCGGCAGTCAGTGTTGTGTATTAAGCTTATGTTTATTTTTCCAATGAACAGTCTCAAGGAAAGCATAGTTTGTGCAAGACAACCTAGATATTAAAAGCAATGCATATTCTTTACTTTTAACCTCCTCCTTTCTCACCAAGGATTCTCCTCAAGGATACATATTTCGGCAGTCAGTGTTGTGTATTAAGCTTATGTTTATTTTTCCAATGAACAGTCTCAAGGGAAGCAAGACAGGCAAGTGGCAAAAAAGTGTGCTATGACAAGTGCCTCTCGTCAGTTGAATAGGAGCATCTATTCTAAAAATGTGCTAAAGGATTCTTCCAGTTTGATCCTTTGATCCATAAGGCCTTTGCCATCTCTAGGCAGCTCTTACTATTGCTGGTCTTCCACCTTGACACACATGCACATACAGTTATTTTTTAGTTGTAATTTTGGTACTACTGAAGCCAGGAAGGCGGGCTGAGGAGGGGTTCTAACATCAGGAGTGCTGTGGACTCCTCTAGACTAAAGTTAGCATTAAGGCCTTCCTCTCCTTCCAGACCTTTAGATGAATTACTTATGTTGACACAAGCACAGCCTTTTAACCTGGATTTGTCCAAACAAAGACCATGATTTAAAAATGTACAAAAATGAACATACCAGAAACAATACATACAAAATTGCATATTGGAAGAAATGCGTACAAAAAAAACCTTTGTTTAATGAAAACTATTTTGCAAAAATCTGAAAAAAGTAAGTATCATGTGAATTCTGTTTAGTGTTTAACAATATGTATGTATACCTTTTTGTGCAGTTATTATCCAATACAAAACTGGGATAGGAAAAACATAGCAGTGGGACAGTGAGAAACGGGGTGAGACTGAGTTTGACAAATTCATCCAGACAGTATGTGTGCATAGGAGCATGTGTTCACATAAATAGACAGAGAAGCTATCCTGCACACAGACATATGCTAATTTTACTTCCTTTTGCATCTTTAAGTGTCACTCTGGAGGGATCTACAATATTGGGTGACAGCTTTTCACAGATATATGAAATGGTATTTAGAAAAGGCGCAATGTACACACACAAAAAACCTCTCAGTTGTGAATATTGGTGTTAATATGGTCGTAATGCTGTAAATAGTGCTGAAGCCTGAAACCTTGGAAATCAATATTAATACATTGCCTTTTGCTATGGAGACCAAATCTGGTTTGTTGAACAGTATAAAAACAAAAGGGGAATAAAACTGTTGACTCAGATGGTAATAAATGTAAAAATGAGTAAAATTTCCCTTATAATTGGCATTGACAGATTGCAGTCAAAGTACAATCACCTGATGATCTGTTGAGCCCACTAACACCTCCAATGTGTATTTCTGAAGCACATTTCACATGGAACAGACGTATTAGTGCCTCAGTCTATGGCAAGGAAAGTCTAATGCAAAATTGACCTGCCACACAGTGCCCTCTGGTGCACAGGAAAAAAAAGCAAAGGAAAATACATCTTTATGACATAGAAACACATTTCAGACTTTCTTTCAAATATGTGTTTTAAGAAGCAATAATGGTTGTGTATGTACTCATAGGGAGGAGGAAAATACTGGGTTTACCCTCAGTTGCTTCAGAGCTGGTAGCTCAGGAAACTGGAAACAGTGGCAAAACAGACGGAAATAAATGGCCACCTGCTCAAATGATTTGACAGGCTTAGAATTGGCCAAGTGACAGAAACGGCAAATCTGTGTCTTTTGCACTGTAGAGTTGTAACTCCTTTGTTTGGGCTTGAGAAAAGAGTCTGCAGGAATCAATACTCAAAATACTGAGACCAGCATTAACATACTCTTTTTCTTACTCCTGTGATATTTTTCTCACTTAAAAAGAAGAGGTCACACAGTAACTCTTCCTTTAAAGACCTTCAGAGACAGTCCAAAGTTTTTGGAGCGATTGCTACTTCTACATACATATACATATAGTATGCAGACGCGTCATTCTTTTTCTTGTCTAATTCTCATCACCAGAGATGGTATCACTCACATTCTCATTTTCTTAGAGGTACACAGAAATGAAGCCAAACCATTGCTCAGGGTCCCTTATTTCATTATTCTAGCACTTTTGTACCTTTAAGAGGTGGCCTGCAAAAGGCAGGTGAGGTTTCCCTCATCATTTTCATCTCTATCACAGAACCACCACCATCCACAACCCCTCTGTCATTTTGTCTTATTTCTACCTGACTTTCACCAACCTGATTGTGCATAAATGTACAGTTCTTAGACTCTTGGTAAGTTATTTGTTTATTTGAATGGGCACCCTTGTACTATTATATAAATCTAGGCTGAAATCCTTATACTAATTAGCCCAGTCTAACACATTTTGCCTAGCAACAACTCTTCTAGAAATTCCTTTCCAGAAGAGCTATAGGAACATTACATTTGACAGGATGGTAACTGCATGAATTTGATTAACATCTGCCTGTTTTGTTATAAGAACAGCAGTCATAAGAGTGAAAGGGAGATACTTGAAATATTTTCTCTCCCTACCACACAATTCTAACAAAAATCACTTTGCTAAAGCTGCTATTTGCATTGCAAGAGAAGCTTCCATTGGTACCCGGAGGGAGAGAGGGGGACTTGGGCTATGCCAAATATGTCAGATGTTGGGGGATATTCTGTATGCAAAGCATGTGATCTGTTTTAGAACTATGGGTCTTGGCTGACAAACTTGATCTCCTGAAATTTGGGAGGAAATGTGAGCAGGAAATAAGCTAGGAGTTAAAATTAGCTTTTCCACAATGCTGAAATATTTGGTTAGCCTTCAGCCTTCTCTTTAACCAATCAATCACCATCACTTCCAACAGGCAGCCGTAGTATTCTCAAGAGCACACAACTCTGAAAGAGACCTTCAGACGTGTGGTGCCTGCATATATATATTATATAAATCTAGGCTGAAATCCTTATACTAATTAGCCCAGTCTAACACATTTTGCCTAGCAACAACTATGAGGAATATGTAAGAAGAAAGTAGATCTGCACATTGGCTCCACACCTCTGCCCCCACTTTCCCTGAAAGAGGGATTATTTATATACAGCTCACACAAAGATTTTATTCACAATAATCTTGGTTTATGCTTCATACCTGTAAATCTTGTATCTTGTGCTAAATCCCTGTCGGCTTCTGTCCACGAAATCTGTGTATTCCGGGGAGCGATGGAAGGGTCCCTTATCAGAGAGGAGCCAGTCGAAGGGGCTTGTGGCATGCTGATCAGAACCAGCAGCGACCGCTAAAACCCAGCAATGAAGACTCAGGGCTATCCACTCCCATAGAGCCATCAGAGAGAACAATTCAGCACCAGTACTGCATCGCCATATCATGCTTCCACTGGGGACTTAGAGTCTTCATTCTCTTAGCTGTCCCTTAACTCCTAGACAAAAGAAAAACACAGGGAATTTGTCACCTTTTAGAAACCAATACAAGAATCTCACTCTCTCCTCCAAAAAGAGAGACAGTAAAGGGTCAGATGGGTGCCGGAGAGCAGTAGAAAGAGAGAGGGCAACAGTGTTTCATTTCTCTTCTTGCCTTCTGCCCCCCAGGAACATTCAGCAGGGTATGTGTGCTTGTGGTTGTATGGGTGAATGACAACATCTCTACATGCATTATAAGAGAGAGTACTTGTGTCACAACATGAATAAGCATACACTCATTGATGTCTTTGTGGGCCACACAACATATTATAGATGACTCATTATTAGAAAAGAAAATTCCATAAGTATTAAAAGGCCTTCTCTGTGGCAGCTCCCAGATTATGGAATGCTCTCTCTCTCAGGAGATCAGGCTGGCCTCATCCCTTTTGTCTTTCCAATGACAGCTGAAGACCCATCTTTTCAGATGGATTTTTAACAATCGTGATTGAGTCCCTGAATGCCATTTTGAAGTTAAGATAATTTTTCATGTTTACCTGCTTTTAATTATTCAAATGTATTTAACTGGTGTATAGTTGAATTATTTTCTTAATGTTTAACTTATTATTTTTTAATTCTATTCTTTTAATATTGTGAGTCTCTTTGGGTTTGCTTATAGAGAGAAAGACAGCTGAGGGAGGTAGGAAGGAAGGAAGGAAGGAAGGAAGGAAGGAAGGAAGGAAGGAAGGAAGGAAGGAAGGAAGGAAGGAAGGCATGTGATTGGCACAGCAGGAAATGTTCACAGTTTCTGCCTTTATTTTGAATGGTCTTCTGAACCACTGTCTAGGCGTAGTTTTTAAAATATGACTACTCAGTCACAATAGGCTGCCAGAAACACATCTCAAAAAAAAAATCATGTTGTTTCAGTTTTTAGAAACATATTTGTAATACATAGTTTAGTCTTGGCATGTGAGAAAGGCCTCTGACACACCCCAATACCCAAAGACTGGGTATACAGATTGAAGTCAACCTCCCCTCTTCCCTTCAAAAGACATCCTGACCCACTTTATCAGTAACATTACCCGTCCAATACACTCTGCATTTTTTAAGCAATGCTATGAATGAGGGAGAAATGCAAATAGCTATGACCCCCTGGGTGCATGTAGCATGGCCCATTGTGGGGCAACTGAATCGAATCATGCCAGTTTGTATTTGCACCACTGTAGCCAAAAGTGGAGGGGAAAAAGAGAGTGAGAGAGAGAAGAAAAACTGGTGCTGGACAGAGGGAAGTTTTATCCTAATACCCAAGTTATGTGACCTATCTATTCAGAGTCCATACAACAAATGTTCTTCCACAATCAGTCACACACTCAGTCCTAATGGTGTCATGATATGTCTATAAAGTTGAGCAAAGTAAGCTGAGGAGGAGAAAGGGGGAAAAGAAGACAGCTCCAGAAGGTAGAAGGCCTCTCTAAACAGCAACACAAGTCTTTGGCTTTGTCCTACAGCTCCACGAAATGGGTGACATAGCAGCTGTGAAGGATTACATAGTGCAGGTGATCACATCTGAGCTCTCCAAATACCTCTGTAATTGGACCACCTAGGGCAACTCTTGGGCTTCAGTGGAAGAGGGCTCAGCTTTCAGTGGTCTTTTCCTTTTATGTCAAGACCTCAGTGTTCCACTACTGATTTCCTGTCTCCTCAATTCAAATTGTGGGCTGTCTTTTTAACTTTATGAGTGCCAAATTGAATAAGAAGAATCTATTGGAGTGTTGCTCTACTTCAGGAGAAAGCAGAGAGTGTAGTTTCCTAGTTTGGCCTTAACGGAATTTGTATGCAAGCAAAAAGATCTGGAGAAGTGGAGAACTAACTGGAAAGCAGAATTTCTTTGTTTCTTCTGTCCTATACTCTCAACACCCATGTATTCCAACCTCCTCCTTATTTATAAAATCTGCAATGCATAAGATATCCTTAGAAGTCATTCTACAATAGAAAGTTTGCTGCTCCCAGCATTCTGGGTAAGATTATTATTTGGTTTATGGCATACATTTTAAAGAGACAACAATACATTTATTATCCTGGGATAAACCCCACTGTTTTTATCCACCAGTGGAACAGAATCTGTCAGCAAGATGGATATCCCTCAGCTCTCCGTGCCAACCAAACTCTGCTGTTGAGGGCGAAGGATAGAGTATGGAATGTATTTCTTGTTAATACATTATAATCAATGTTACTTTTTAAAAAGTGATGTGTTGATATATTCCTCAGGACTTTAATAGAAACAAGCTAGCAATGAACCAGCATATTTAAGTTGTTTTTAATTTGGCTTAAATAATTCAAAATGGCTCCTCATTTATCCCCAATAACTGATTAAGTTATAAATAATAGTGCAAGCACTGCAATTTACTGATTTGAAAATGATTTAAAACATATCAGAGTATGGAACATCAACAACAAAGATAAAATAACTTTTCAAAAGATACATTAAAAAAAAACTAAACCACTTAAAAAGCAATTGCGGAAAATATTGTTCCATATAACAATAGAAATATAATTCAAAATGGATGGATTCATTTTTTCAAGTCATCAGTGGACAACCCATCATGAAACTAACAGCAATGTATTAGCAGAGGCCCTAGACTATATTACTAAGGTATGTTCAGCTGAGTAAAGATTCATTACGTTGTCACCGAGAGACAGTCAATATGTGGTATAAGTGTGTAAATTACGAAAGTGATGGGTTATGGGTAGGGTTGGCTGAAGCCTCAAGCACTGCTGTGCTTCTCTGGGTCTGGAGGTGGAGGCACCTCTCTGTTGTATATATTGGCATGTATGTTGCACACACACATACAAATATACCAAATATGTTGCACACACACATACAAATGTACCAAATCCAGATTGTCCGTCTCTCTCAAGCAATGCACTACTTTGTGATTGTTATACAAGCATCCCTTTTTCTGAGGCCATTATTCTTAGTTTTACTTTACGGAGGGGGAGGCAATGTTGATGTCTTGGAGAAAAAGGCCACTTCACACATTATGGATTTAAATGTAAAGTTAAAACCATTTAAATGTTAAATGCAGCATATGAATATGACTCGACACAAGACTGTATTTTATCTGTACTATATAATTACACTAACAAAGAAGCCAGGGTCAGCTGTGGCTTCTTGTTGAAAACTCGCCAGGTAGACCGGACAAGGCAATTTTTGTGAAACGTTGATTTTTTGTAGGTAAATGATGTGTTAATGACTTCTGACTTTGTTACTGGAGAATAACATTGTCCAAAAGCTGCAGGTCATGTGTGTATGTACACTTGTGTGCATATTTCAATTTTAAATGAAGAAAATCAAAGAACATCAGTTGGAAATTTTGGACTTCACTAAGAGTCCTACCACTACCATCATTTCAAAATGATGCTCCTGATACCTTTGATAATTTTTATATAAGATGAGCAGTAATCAGACGTTATGATATTAAACTCAGATATGGGTTAAACAGTGCACTGCCATACCTCAGCAGTGAGAGACACAGACGTTCCATGGTGTATTATTCAAACAATGCAGTTGCAGTCGTAATACTCAAAATTGGATCAGTGTGGCATTTACTTAATGAAGTCTTGCAGGGTGATACTCTTTTCTTTGGTGAATCTATTTATGAAGAAAAACTTCCTTCTAATTCATACTTAAATAGGACAGAACAAATTATATTCGTTTCTTCCAAGCTCTGACAAGCCCCCACTGTGAACTTCAGATAGATGGTGAATGTCACTGTTGACATAACCACTCTTATCTTCATGCATTTTCTAAATAAAATGATTTTAAAAAAGAGGTAGTGATGATATAGCCCTCTTTATGTTTCCTTATTTTTATATCATTACCAACACATGTGCGCACGTGCATTACCAACACACACACACACACACACACACATACACACACACACACACACAAACCCTATGCTGAATAAGTAGGACTGCAATTTCTCTAGGACAGGATATTAATATGTTTTTTAAAAAAATCCCTGGCACAAAATATAAGTCACACACACACACACACACACAAACCCTATGTTGAATAAGTAGGACTGCAATTTCTCTAGGACAGGATATTAATATGTTTTTTTTAAAAATCCCTGGCACAAAATATAAGTGGATTGTCTGCAGGAAACTGATTGACCCCAGTAGGGATCCACAACATGTATAATAACCAAGGCTCATCACAGAATCTGAATACATTTGTGTTGTTCCAGAAATACCACAAGAGGTATATTTAACCTTTTTTGTTTCCTAATGAGCACAGAGTAAAGTGGTTTGCATTTAGCTGTAGTCATCAGGGGTCCAGTGGTTTTCAGAGTTCATTTCTTCAGGGCAACCTTTCAACATGAACAACAGTCTCAACACTGCATAAATATAAACTGAATCAGGGCTATTTGTGTGCTCTCAAGGGCAACCATGGGGTACAGTCAGTATCCCCTGGCTGCCCAGGACAGAGCAACACCCTGCATGGAAAAAGGAAAAAGACTTGATGTTCAAGAAAAGGGAAATCAGAACTAACACACGGTAGGAGAGAGACCGTCCTAGCAGCAAAGCGGAAGAAAGAGATAGCTGAACACCCACAAAATAAAATCTAGACATCTAATTCATACTTCAAGTGCTGAGGTACTAGCCATGCTCTCTGAGTGAGGCTACCGAGCCGTACTAGCTCCTTTCTGTTTCTTTGGTTGGATGCCCAAAATGTGCTTGGCTAGTTTTGTGTGTGTTTTGCTTGCTTGCTTTCTTTTTAATATTGTAATATTATAAACACCCTATTTTCTATGAACATATCCTATTTGTTAAGCAGGGTATTACCGTACTGCACAGAATAGTAAACCATTGCTGATATTTCTTATCTTGAAAATTCTATGATGAGACAATACAAAATGAATCAAGAGAGAGTGCTGGACAATGAAATTCCCAGATCAGAAGGTACTCAATCAGCTATTGGTGAATATCAAATGACAAATATGAATAGCACTGTTGC